AATTATCGTCACGTAACTTTTCTATACACGGAGAAAATTTTATGTTAAATTTTACTATGCTGTCGCACCAACTGCGGACCATCAAGACGCCCAAGTTTAAATGCTATAGTCTTGTGTAAAATTACTATGTCCATAGCATTTAGTGATACGATCATATAGCATTATTATAGCATTGAATGGTATGATCGTAGCATTAAATGCTATATATGGACATAGTAATTTTACACAAGATTATAGCATTTAAACTTGGACGTCTTGATGGTCCGCAGTTGGTGCGGCAGCATAGTAAAATTTAACATAAAATTTTCTCCGTGTAGGTATCAAAAAATCATGACGGTTGAACGCGGTTGCAGGATGTTAACAATTAAACCTGCGTCCGGAGCTAAAAGAATCAATGGCCCAGGAAAGACGATCTCAGTCGATGAATCTCATTCGGTCTATTAACTTCGCCGCCATTACGGAGAAGCTGAATGCAGTATCCCGGATTCTGCGAGCGGACGAGTGGTCTTCGCGCGCGGCGGAGAGAATCGATTCCCATCGAAGCGAAGCGTTCCTCGGGCCCCTCGCGGGCATCTGGCACGTTTACGTCCCTTGCAAATTGTTATCCCAGCGTCTACCGCCGAAGGAAATTCGAGGAATGGACCGGGGCTCTTCGGGAGAAACGGGAAAGGATTCTCCGTTCTCTCTCTCTCTCTCTCCTAATCTCGCGGCCATTACCTTGTTCGCTTTACCTCCGTTCTCCGCTTTTCCTCTCGCGCGGCTCAATTACCGGCGTAACGCATATGGCGGTATCGCGTTGCAGTAAATTCTGTTAAAGCGAGTTACGTAAACAAACGGATGATGCTCAGGGCGAGCATCCCTCCTTCGCTTATACGCGCGGATGCAAATGCGCGGTTATAAGAGTATATAACGTTGCAAGCTTTTGCAATTACTGCCGTCCAAAACTGCGAGCGTTTTGAAACCTCTTTAACTGCGCTCGGGATTCCCTGGCACTTTAAGGCTCTTTTGCCGTAAGCTATATGAACATTCAATGTCCTAGGCATTCAATGCGCGAACCGTGCAATGTTATATTTATCGAAAGTTGTGAAAACTCAACCGTACAATGTTCCAAGTATTCTAGAATTCCTATACAGCATCCAGGATACATTTACAATGTTGCTGTTAATTGAGTTAAACTCCAATGTATCTGATTTAGCGAGAACATTTTCCAATTTATTGCAAACGCAAGAGTGCTGGCGGTCAACTATCTTTACGAAGAAAAAGGAAGACGCAAGTAAATTTTCATTTTCGTTACTAAACAATTACACAAGTTACAAATAGGATAATGTTTAAATAATTCTATTTTTATTATATTTATTTTATTTTATTTTATTTTATTTACATGTTCCCTAAAAATACATCAAATTTAGAATTTTAGTTTTGAAATTCTATAATTATTTCAAGTAATCAAGCTTTCCTTCTCGTGGCTTTGACGATTGCTGTTGATGATTGATGTCCTAAAATTCCCAACATTTCGTACCCCAGACAGATCCATCCACTTTTCCCAAACTGAAACACATAAACTTAATCGTTGATCGCTCTCATCGCAACCCATCAGCAATTTTCCCCCCCGGGGACTCGGGAGGATGCGGGCCGGGCGATACACACCCTCCGGGCTGAGAAGGCTCGTTTGCCTAAACACGTTTGGCTGCCGTCACGACGAAAGCTCGTGAATGAGGGTTGAGGGACAAACGGGCGCACTTTCGTGAAGGACACTTCGAGAGGGTAGCGCCGAGGGCTTTTATCGCCTTCAGGACGATTCGTCGTCTCTCTCTCGTTCTCTCCCTTGCATATAGTTTATTTCTTTTGTTTGTCAGCCGGACCCTCATCAAATTTCCTGTCGACGGAAAGTGTCCCGACTGTTTAGCAGTCTACCTCGACGAATTTGTTTAAGCTACCGCGATCAACAAATCCGAGTTAATCCCTCAGTTTGGACCTAGCTTAGCGAGGGAGGGATGAAATAAAAACGCCAAGGAGAAACGCGCTTCTCTTATTCGGCGATTTAAGCTTACCGTCAAAATTGGTCTCTACATTTAATAAACAATGGGAGACGAAACACAAAAGAGATTCAGAGTCGCCAACCGGCCCTTTTTGCGCGCTTAAATCGTAATTTCGCGAAAATAACTTCCACAGTTATTCCAAGTTAACAAGCTGAACAAGCTTTTATGTTTCGAGTTAAATCGAGCCAGCATGAGTTGGTTTGACTTCCGGAAAGTTTTTCGCTCAGGGCGGTCGTCATGGCGGAAGCAAGAAAATAATGTTGAAACCGTCTCTCCGGTAGTCAAAGCTGAAAAATACAATGAAACACGAGAATATACCAGAAATCCGGCGGCGTGGGGCTCACTCCTTATTTAAATATGAATTCCATTGTGTTTCATATTCCGGTCCTCCGACCGATCGATTATATTTGCAAGCATGATCGTCATATTTTTCTCAATGAGGTTTTCGATTATTTTAACGAACCAGTTTTTAATTATTGCCGTTAAAAAATATTATTAAAATTACGAATAATTCTATGCAAGCATGCAATCAGAAACATGAATTGAATAGCGTTAATAAATTTTTAAAACGTTAATTTATTGGAAAAGTGGTACGTGCGATTATTCACTAAGCTACACCCGCTCTTTTTGGCGAACATTGCGGTGAGCTCATTTTCGTGAAAAAGATTATAAACATAACAATTGTTTGAATATTTGTAACTTTTTGCTTTACTATTCGGTTCCATCGTATTTGACTTGTTCAAGATTTGCCTAGTTTATTATTGGAAAAAATTCTAAACGTTGATACTTTTTCATATTACATTTGAAGCTAAACTTGAAGCTAAAATAGAACTGTAATTAAAGATAACATAACACACGTTTAATACTAAGAGCAAACCACATTGATAATAAAAATTCAACAACTGCAAAACGAATAATTTGACAATTACAACTCGTCATTTAATTGTTACGTTCGAAAACGCAATATTCGAGATTTTTGTTATTGTACCGGCGAAAGATGCGTTATATTTTCAGTTTTACGATTAATTAACGTAATAGGTGTACTTACCTTTTATTATGATCCAAAGCGTAACGGGGAAACCTGAAAATAAAAATAAAATTAATAAATTATTCGTCGTAATAACTGTGCGAATGTGCGATGCGTTATATTTCATGAGAAGTTAATGTGTTTATGAAAAGGAAATGTGATATTTATAAATGTGGCGAAATGACGCATTATGCACACATAAAGATCTAAAGAAAAGCGGGCGATGTAAAGTCGTGCATCTAGAAAGGTAAAACGCGAAAGGATTGTCGTTGATAGGAAACTTAAGGGGAGGTTCTGGTTCAGAGGCCCAAAAAATTCATGAATTTCAGGAATTGTTTTTTTATATATGTTGGAAAGTCAAACCGAAAACATTTCAAACCGACAACATTATTCAGCGCTCGAAACGCGCAGCCCAGCGAACCTCTGGTACCCGCGATCACGTGTTTCGAAAAGCGTCTCGCCCGCTTATTCGTCGAGGCACCGAGCCTAGCAACCGAAACGCGTGCTCCACGAGCTTACAATAGATATAAGGACAAATAAAGTCACTTTCCCGCAAGGGGCGGAATCCTCTCCCCGTTTTCGCATGACGCGACTGCCGAAATCGAATAAGCGGGCGAGAGCAGAATCTATCGAGTCGTCGGCTCGCACCCAAGCTCACGATCGCGTAAACTGCTCAAACTCAGTACGCCGCTATTTTAATTGTAATTTGTGTTGGCGAGTTTGCTGTGTGCCGTCAAGTTAACTCCGACGCTCGCTGCATTGTCGCCCGCAGCTTCGGGAATCCGATCCCGCGAACAAGAAGTCCGTCGAGCAAATCTCGGACGCGCAAGATTTCCGCAAGTGAGCCCTCCGATATTCGGTTTGCTCCGACTCCGCGAGATCCGCAATTCGGTTTACTCCGATCCGGCCACGTCAGGCGGACGAAAGACTGTACGCGAAGTGCGTCGAGCGTCATTGTGCTCCATTGTGTGGACGAAATAAATATTCTTTGGTGAAATACGAGAGCATCAGTTTTCCTGATCCCTATCAGGATTTCAGATCAGCTGGCAAAGCTGTGGAGCGCCCCGCGCGCATAAACTCACGTCGTTTGTAGCTTCATGGCGTGGAAGCGAGAGCCGCTATTTTAAATTTTTAAAAATCAAAATTTTTTACGTAACAGAACAAGAATAAAACCCCTTAAAAGTTTTTTTCAAATTCATTTATTTTATATAAAAAAACAATTCCTGAAATTCATGAATTTTTTGGGCCTCTGAACCAGAACCTCCCCTTAATTATATTCATTATTTTAAACATATCTGCAATGAGATATGGAAAGTTGTGATTTATGACGCAGGTATAAAAAGCTCTTGGGAAATTAAAAACTTTATTTTATTAGTTTCAATAGTTTGCATAATTTTGTATAATATTCTAAAACTTTGGTACGTAAAATGTCAAGGGTCAATTTTTGTGAAAAGAGAAAAGAAACTCGCAAGAAATTGACCAATCAGTGCCAATCACAGTCGATTATTCTCCTTGGCCGCAGAGGGAAGTGATCCGCGCAGTTCCTTGGGCTTAAAGAACCTACGGCATCAACCCGAATTCCCGACAGCGCGGACATACACACACAATTATACGCACACAAAAACATATACACATTTCCGAGTTTGAAGAACAATTTAATCGAACCAGTTTCTACCATACTACGCAGTTTCACAGACGAATTGGATAATTCATTAACTTAACCGAAAAGGAAATAGCTGTGCTAATAACTAGAAGAAGAAGAAGAAGAAGATTATTCTCCTTAAATTCGAATGTGATTGGTCAATTTTCTACAATCCACGACCCACGACTCGCATTGTAGACCCAGCATTACGTGTGCGTAGTGGAGAGGAGCTGCCGGCTCGCGAAATCATAACAAATCATATCGAATCCGCCGGGCTCGCAGTCCGGACGTGATTCGTGCGGACGTTATGGATAATTTTACTCTTTACATTATATGTGTTGGTATAGTGCTAATTGGACTTGGTTGTTCTTGTCTTTGCGGTAAGTGTCGTGCTCCAGCAAGACAGAGAATTGACCTCCTTCACCTTCAGCTCCAGCTTATCGGGCTCCACCCGCGCCGCCACGTAACTGACCGACTGGCTCTGGGAGTCGTCCAGGCAGAAGAGGAAGCTCGGGACCCTACGGTCCCGGCCGCTGTTGTCCAGCACCACCCGGGTGCTGGTCTTCGTCAGCCGGGACTGCAGGTCGATGTGTCGCCCGACGTTTCGCACCACCAGGTTAGAGTCCACGAGGTCGGCCGCGGCGCAGCCACTCATCCGCACGCCCATAATGTTCCGTTATATGTTGTGCACTTGCCGGTACGCGGCAATCGCGTTTTTGCGTTGAATACCGTTTTCACGGAAAAAAAGTTTGGTAGGTTTGCAAAGGAAATAGAAACAATTGGACAAATTAAGCGAGTGTATACGGAGTATAGGGTCGCGTTCACTTTGTGACAAAATATCCTGAAAGAAATACACAACCTCGGCGCTTTATAGAGGGTCCTTTATTGGCCCAATATTCGCGGCCACCGGCACTGAATTCATCGAATGCCGGCTTTTGTTCTTTTTATTCCCAATAACTCGAACCGGGTGCAATAGGAAACACGGCTTGCGTAATAGGAAACGTGTAACGCACTTACAGTCCACGGTATTGCCGAGCAATTGCTGTTTTACGAGGACAGGACAAGTTATCCAAATAATCGTACAAAAAAAAGGGGGCGGACAAGTAGAAACCAATAAAAATCTCGATTTACGAAGTTGTAAGATTGTGGAAATTTTTCAGGAAGCTGCTTTAAATTGAGCTTATTTTTTTTCTCCCTATTACGAGAAATTTTATTTCTTGAGAGTAACAATCGGGAAAAATTATACAGTCATGGAAAAAGCAATAATTAATAAATATTACAATCATTAAGATTTCCAATGATCTGCACATTTTTAAAGGAATTATCGCGATAATTTTAAAATCTTTCGCAATTATTCTTATTAAATTTCAGCTTTTCTCCTTTAAAAAACCACACTCTTCCTTTTTTATGTAAAACGATATGCATTCTTTGTTATCGCTATGGATCAATAAGTCCGCGGACAGAAATCTGGAACGAGGAGCAGATATGAGACCGCGATGTGCGATCTTTAGAGCGAATTTAATACGTGCACGAATCTCGCGCCAGCTCGGACAATACGCGGGCTCGTTCGCGGGAGCATGATGCGCGCGGATTTTGGGATAAATATATTTACGGAAGCGCGGAGAGAGAGCGCGAAAGAGAGGAACCCCGCGAAAGGGGGATGGACAGCGCGCGGGGGTGGCCGGCGCGGTCGGACGCCACCACCGCGCCCCTTTCGTGTTACGAGAGGCCGAGTATCCGTAGCTCCGGCTGATTTACATTTACGATCACTCATCTCTGCCCCGACCTGGGCTCGTACTACAGCTTATTAACTCATTCGTCTCGGTCATGAATAATTTACCGTCTTGACACACCATTGGGTACCGCCCAGTGTTGTTCGCGCGGGATGGCCGTTTCTGTCCTGATGAGAAGACTAATCCGCTCTCTCTCCCTCTCTCTCTGCGAAAAAGGAGCTATTTAGAAAGCTATATGCTGATGTGAGTGTTATAACAGTATATAATTAGGATTGGCCGATAAAATTTTCACGAATGAGTAAATGAGAATTAAACAAAAATATGGAGCAGCTATTATTATTTTAATAAACGTATTTGGAAATAGATTTTGACTATCTTAAAAACGTCTCAAAAAAAATTTTTTTTGAAATATATAATTGTTATAAATATGTGATTTGCAAAGTAATAGAACTGCAAAATGATATTTTGAGACAAATAACTCCCCAAAAAAGAGAGACCAGTATTCTTCTGATATTTTATTTAAACATTTTATTTAAAAATGAATAATTTTTAAGAATATATATATACACATTACACACATATATGTATATTATATAAATCAATTTTTTGTGTGTATTTGTATAGAAATAAAATTTCAATTCTTTATAATATTATAAAATATTAATATTATGAATGCAAAATTTAATTCTGATATAAAATATACAAATAATTAATTTTTTAGTAAGTAAAATCCAGTTCTTTTTTTAATTGTAATAATTCTTTTTATTGGTAAATAAAAAATCGAAGATTAATATTACTGACGCATGATAAGGAAGAATATACGTTATTTTGGGAGTCTTAATTTTTACCAACACGTGATAATTGTTGGCTCTCGCGTCGCGGGGGCAGAGCGACACTTTTTTCTGCCAGATTTTTTCGTTCGTGTAAAAACGCGTCGATCGAGCATAATTTCATCGATATTTGAGATATGAGGCCCCTGGTTACTAAATAATTACCATTTAGAGATTTTTGTGGATTTCCTAGGGATTTTGCAAAAAGATGAATTACACGAAATCCCTGCGCATGCGCACAACGCACGCGTGTTTCCACGCGTTTACAATACTCCCACAGTCTCACTTTCTCATCTCACACTCACACTACTCACAGTTCACACTGTTCACAGTCACCAGTCAGTCCAGTCGCTTCGACGCCTATCACCACATTGCCGCGTAGCACGGACCGGACCCCGGACCCCGGACCCCCCGCCGCTGCATACCACGCACTCGTGCTATCGTCGTACATTTCGCTGTGTTTTTTCCTCACGGACTCTCGCGGTGCATCAATGATGAGCGACGACGATCGTGACATTGATATCGAGAGCGACGTAAGTATCGCGCACGGGCGAGCTTGGCACTCGCTGGAGCACACTGACCGTACTTGCAATCTTTCTAGGATGGCGACGATTCGGACTCCAGACTGAGGCACTCCAACAACACGCAATACTACTCACAGGTGAGATTCCGCGATTCGCGGCCCTGGGGGGCATTTTTCACCACAACCGATAATCAGATCGTGTTTTTTTTGCACACACCGAGAAAGATCTCTTTCGTGCAATTTCCTTTTCGCGTTCTCTCGTACGGCTATCGGCAGTATTAGGATACGATGTGTCTAACCTCATTTCCTTAATGCTGTAGATATTCTGTTTGCCAAGTAGTATTGCTTGTTGTTGTTCACCGGATACTTGTGTGCGATCGGTGTAATCAATAAAATGATATCTTTTCAGCCTTCAATATGGACAACTGTTACGAACATCTTTTTAATGAATCAATTTAATATAATTATATAATATTCTTTAATTAATCAGCTCACAACACATAATTATATTCGCGATAAACAGATCGATTCTATTCTATTCTATTCTATTCCAAGACGCAATGTGAAACAACGGTTTGGCGATTGCCACATTTTTAACTTTCGTCGAGAACTTTCTAGACGTTTCATATACGTTCGAACCAGTGAACTATACTGGAAAGTTACCTGCATGCTTACCGGGGAGCAAACCAAAGAAGGGTTTTTAACCCTTAAATGCTACCCGGGGTCCACCGGACCCCAGACCCTTTAGAATGATATATTTTCAAATGTTCCCCCCAAAAATGGAGCTCATGCTCCCATTGATGATAGTTGAGTGATTGACCTACCCGGTTGTACACTTAGCAGTACTCAGTTTACTTAATTTTTTATACTATGTTGAAATTGAAATTTTAACAATATAAGCATTTTATTCTCTTTTCTAAGCCTTGAACAACAATGAAAATAATTTTCATAACTAAATATCAAAAATTCAATGAGTAGAGACATTTTTCATGCTGGGGTCTTTTAGACCCCCATGTGTCATTTACGAGATTCTTGAGAGGTGTGGCATTCAAGGCACCATTTCTATCTCCAGAGAATTTTGCCGGGTTTAATGGTTTTCTATTCTATTGTTCTATTGATCTATTGGTCTAGTGCTTCAAAAAGTTTCGTTTTCTTCTAGAGTAGAGGTCCCGTACGTAATTTCATTACGTAGTTGACTGGGCAAACATTTTTCTCAAAGATTTAAAAAGTTTTCGAAAAGATTAGCCGATTTGGCGCAGCAGGCCCGTGGAAAAGGAAGAAGATACAGAAATGTAGTGAAAAAATATGTAAAAATGAAGAGGGAAATAATATAATAAATAAAACAATAATAATAATAAAACAAAAAATAACGATGAAAGCTTTCACGAGCGCTTTATCTTTTACTGTTGCCTTCTGTTGAAAAAAAAAAAAATTTTAGTGGCTATATAAGATACTTTGTGTGATGATAGGCAGAGAAAAGAGCACATCACAATGCTTTGGAGCGGAAACGACGGGACCACATCAAAGACAGTTTTACCAGTCTTAAGGATGCCGTACCGACTTTGCAAGGGGAAAAAGTCGCAAGCAGGGCGCAAATCCTGAAGAAAGCAGCTGATTACATTGTCAGCATGCGGCGTAGAAATGGATCCCATCAGCAAGACATCGATGACCTCAGGAAACAGAATGCTTATCTGGAGAACGAAAGTAACTATCTCTTCTTTTATATAGTTTCATATTGGCTCCAACTCGGATCGTGATCTCTCGCAATTCCTCAAGCGCGTTTCATAATAATTTAATTTTTATAAGGTCAAAAATTAAAATAATTATAATAACGAAGCAACTTATTATTATAATTGTAATGATAAATCTGGTATCTTAGAAAAATATCAATTAAGCTAGCATAAAAAGTATTAAAATTGTTAAATTTATCAATTTTAGTTTTTTTTTATTATCATGTTATTTCCCATTAACTGCACTTTTTAGTTCCTATCGCCTAATATCCGTTTCTTGATACTTATCGAGTCTTATAATTAATTTGATTTGCTATATTGTAAAATAGCCAACTTTTTGTATTGTGACCGTAAAGTGAGCAAAGGACATCACGCGTTTCCTCTTTCTAATTTGTTTATTTTTTTACAGTTCACAACTTAGAAAGATCCTTGGGGTTAAGCAAGTCTGAATCACCGGCCATATGTGAGTACACTCCGTCCGAGTCCTCCGACAGCGAGACTGGTGAAACGATTCGACAGCCGAAGAAGCTAAAGATGGCCAGCCTGCATTGACGACACTCCATACTTTCCCCTTTAACTTTATTTTCGTTATGATTTTTCGAGATATTTGTAAGTGGTACAAAATACGTGTATATTGTGCGATCATGTGTGTAAGTAGGTACTTATTTAAGTAAATCATTAGAAAATCACGTTCTGTAGCATATTTGTAACATAGCGACACATTTCTGAAGAGTGAGACGATGTCCAAGAACATAAAGCGAGTAAAGATGACATTACCGAACGTCACCGATGTCTTGCAATATTTATGTTTGCAACTTAATGTATATAAATACATATTAAGCAACAATATGGTACCAATATAAATAATTTATATTCGTTTTAATGGTTTTGGGCTATCGCAAATATAATCTTTTGACTTCGCGCGCAAAGTTTGTCAACAGCATGGATAATTGTCAACAAATAATTTTAAGGAGCGATGTCTCGATTCTTCTATCATCATTTCAATATCGCCTCATGTCTCATATTTTTTAATTTATATTCGATCTCGGATATCGCTTTCAGAATCAATTGTCACAATCGACTATCTATTATCAAATATTAAATGTTATCAGTACGGTCCAATGTTATGTAATTATACTTTATTGTCAATGACTGACGATTATCACGAATCTGACACATTGATACGCCACAATATCTTGATATTGTTTAAGACTAATATTTGCTTAATAAAGTTTTATTTGTAACGAATGTTTTATTAAAGTAATTAACATCGATTAGTCGAAGAATAGAAAAACGTCGTTTAAATCGAAGGGGTAAATTTATCAAAAAGACACAGAGACCCTGACGATGAATATTTTATATAGATTTACAATATTGCTATACTTTATTGAAACGTGCCGCGAGCTATGCACACATCATACCATAATAAGTATAGGTAGGTAAAATTTTGACTTACACAATTCGCAGATTAAATCATTACAATTGTGATTATCAGAAAGAAAGAAAGAAGATTATCAGAAGTGTAACTAGCAAGTTCTCTGCACGCAAATCTTGTCTGCCGAAACGTAGCAGGAGATCTTAATATAAATGGGAGAGATAAGAGATTGAAGTGTCATTAGATTTATTTAGATTATTGACTTATTTTACAAACAGGAAATGACACGGTCCTAGAATCCTGTTCGAGTGTTTGAAGAGTTCACTAAGGTGAAAAGCAGATGTGGTATATCGACCGCTGGAAATTCTAGATGCGACCGGCGAACGTGCCCGCTTCGACCTGTCCGTCCCACTTCTCTACCCAGGCGTTCGGGCACATTGAAGTGTAGACCCTTTTGAAGTATTGGCAAGCCTCATAATTTTCGTTGTGCTTCTTCTTGCACCGGTGAAAGTCTACGTAGCTCTGATAACAGTATCTACAGATCATCAGATTCGATTAGAGGCATTCGTCAGCTCGCTTGTCCTAAATGGTAAATACGATTTGCAAATACGCCTCTATCATGGTTCTGGGATAAAAATAATTCTTGTTTTTTTTATTTTACAAATATTTTATAATACGTGTGTTGTATACATATGTACACACACCTAGCACATATTTCATGAAAAATACAATTTAAATAATTGAGTTTTAGTGATGTTAGATAGATCAATCTGAATTTATAGATGCAACAAGAATTTCACGTTTAATTTTTGACAAATTTTAATACAGTTAAACTAATATACTTGTATGATAGAGTCATTTTAATAAAAAACTCAATGATAAGGATTTACAAGCAATAGCATTGCATTTTATTACACAAAAATCGTTCGAGGATACGTTGGATGTAAAAAATGGATCGTTATTACAATGTTTGACTAATAATGATTGTGGCGAGATCCCATTTTGATCCTTACCTGCTCTGGTTCTGATTAGGGAACCTAGGATCGTACGGTGCGGTTTGCCACTCAGTAACGTTCGGAAGCTTCGTCATGCTTGCGACGATATAGGACACTGCTTAACAAGCCATAAATTACTTAATCTCTAAATTTCTGCACGGATTTGCGTTGCGTTTCACCTTCTCTCTCTCTCTCTCTCCCTCTTTTTTTACCCCCTTTATCTACCAGTAAATTCTACATTTCTCTCTCTCGCTCTCGTCCATTCGTCTCTCAAAGCACGCACGACACTATATCACAAATGAGTCCGTTTCTCACGGCACTTCCTCCCTTCTCCGTTCTCTTTCGTTCAGTTCGTTAACAAAGAGATCGCATGGCGTTGAGCTTGAATAAACATAAAAGCTCGCGGCGAGAACAAAATGAACGAAAGGTGCGTCTGGAGGAGAGGTATTTTGTTCCAAGATTTTTTTTTTTTTAAAGATTAACGATCAAACTACAGATATCTTAGAAGAAAAGTAATGAGCCAAAGTACGTAAAGACGGGACGACGCGAATTGTGTCGAAGAGCCTATTTGACTAACGGTCGCGTATTATCCTCCTCCTGGCAGCAAACCTCCCGGTATTTCTTCACCTCCGCCATGTAAAGGGACCACGCGTCCTTCGGCTGTTCCACCGTCTGTTCTGTCTTTGGTTTCGCCACCATACCAGTCTTTAGGATCCTGCCACCTCTCCTCTTGCCCACCATCAGTGGCGGCGGCACCACCGGCTTTTCCTCCAGCACCGAAGTGGTGGGTTTTTGCGCGGTGGGTTGCATCTGCTCCTGCATCTTCTTGAACATCTCCATAAAGCTACCGTCGTTCTTGAAGGCATTCGGTTGCGGGGCAACGACAGCCGCCTGACGCATCACCATCCCCGCCCCCTCTCCGTGGGCGTCCTCCAAGGCGTCGGACTCATAGGAGGTTGCCCTGGCGTGGTGCCTGCGGCTCTCACGGTACCTGTGCCGGTCTCTGCTGCGATTACGACTGCGACTTCGTCTCTTGTCCCTCGAGCGAGACCTGCCGCGCGACCTCGATCGCGATCTATCTCTTCTGGAGTACTTGCGTGATCTCTCTCTGTCGCGATCCCGGTCTCTGTCGTTGGATCTGGATCGTCTGTGCGAGCGCACCGGGGACGACCTGGAGCCGCTGCGACGGCGCTTGCGACGCTCCGGCGGCGGCGGCGGCGGCGAGTCGTTCCGCGAGGATCTACTGCTTCGATGGTGGTCCAAGGGCGTAGGCGAGGGCGAACGCCGCATGCCGACTCTGCTCTTGTGGCTGTCGTGTGTCGTGGTGTAACCTGTGCTATACATGGGAGGCGAGGGCGGAGCAGGTGGCGATTCGGTATTCGATCTGGCGCTGCGTTCGTACCGCTTTGAGTCCATCACGCTGATCGGGAGGGCCGAACTGAAGGACGGACCTATAAGGATAGAAACTGCCTTCCATGAGTACACGGCTCGTTCCGGATCCTCTCGCCTTCATATGACTTGGGCGCGTATATATATAGATAATTTTTTTTTTAATGTGCATTCGCGAGAGAGACAGGCGGACTTCGAGCGAGAGAGCGTAACGTAGTCAGGTAGCCCAAATACATGTGACAAGTGGTAAACGTATAGGTGAGAGGATACTTATCAAGCTGCGATTTAACAAAGTGTCAGCATGGTAATCGCACTGTTTTGGCAGTGTCTCGAGGAGGCAAGAGGGGATGCGTCTCAAACAGAGAGAGACATTGATAGAGCAACTTTGCTTTATCTACTCTTTTGCAACTGTTTAGAAATGCAAAACATATTCAAGAGAGAAAGAGAGAAAGAGAAAGAGAGAGAGAGAGAGAAGGATAAAAAATTAATTAATCCTGAAAGGAGCTTAGACTTTAAATCAAACCGCACATGTCGCCAGTTAGTCCCAGGAACTCCTCACCCCCAAGAAGATTGATGAAGACAGGAAAATGGAGGGGGGGATGTACACCCAACACCGGGCTCCATTCGAAGACAACGGGAAGTCACGGTTCCCGCGGGATCTCTCGGGGACTCGGGACGTTGGACAAGTGGGAGAGGTGGGAGAAGGGGGGAACGCGAGCCGTTTCTGCGACTTTTCCTCGAGATTTACTACCGGAATGGCGATACCCTTCCTACGGCTTAATCTGTCCCGCGCGTGCGGACAGGACCACCGTCCCGTCGAGCGTCTCGCTGGACCGACTTAAGTAACGCTAATTATCTGTATGCGTTAATACCTTATGCGGTTGGGAACAAAATGGCCACTAAGAAACACCGCGCCAGACGACGACTTCGTTACGTCATGCAATCTCGAGGCGAGTTGAGAGTTTTCCTCGTCAGCGGAGTAGCGGAGTGCGGACCTGCAGATTACGTTGCCGAGAACGGTCTACCCCAAACGTTGCGTGAGAAAGTGAGGAGCGTCCCGTATGATCGTCTGACACCAGTGACGGCAGTGACACCCTGAGGATGATTTCTCAGTTCTCACAGGCTGTATGTCTCGGATGTTGCTGATTAGCTGTCGAATAGGGAATTTCTGAGAACTCCTTCCTCCGACAGCCAATTAGATTCGAACTGGATAAGCAGTAAAGGCCATTGCACGTAACAAAGATTTAGCCATAATTATAAGGCCGTAAGAAAATAAACCAATCACAGTCGATTATTCTCCTTACGCTCAAAGAATAATCGAGTGTGATTGGTCTATTTTCTTATAGCCTTACGATTACAACTAAAACTTTGTTACGTGCAGTAGCCTTAAGGCCATTGCACGTAACAAACAAAGTTTTAGTCATAATCGTAAGGCCGTAAGAAAATTATAGACCAATCACACTCGATTATTCCTCGAGCTCAAGGAGAATAATCGACTGTGATTGGTCTATTTTCTTACGGCTTTACGATTTAAAACTTTGTTACGTGCAATGGCCTTAAGAATTGACCAATTAGAGTCAATTATTCTCCTCAAATTCGATTGTGTGTGGTCAATTCTTATGCTAGGTCTACAATGCGAGTCGTAAAGTCGTGAGTCGTAAGAATTGACCAATCACAGTCAATTATTCTCTTCAAATTTGATTGTGATTGGTCAATTCTTACGACTCACGACTTTACGACTCGCATTGTAGACCTAGCATTACGACTCACGACTTTACGACTCGCATTGTAGACCTAGCATAACCTGATTCGCCTTTAATGCTAGGGCTGCATTCGGGGAGCGCGCTATTAGCGCTATTTGCTTATTCTATCCTTGTTTTACATTTAATGAGCGATAAAGATAGAATGATACAATAGCGCTAATAGCACGCTCTCCGAATGCAGCCCTGGTCTACAATGCGAGTCGTAAAGTCGTGAGTCGTAAGAATTGACCAATCACAGTCGATTATTCTCCTCAAAATAGATTGTGATTGGTCAATTCAAACGACTCACGACTTTACGACTCGCATTGTACCTAGCATAAGCAGGGCACACACACTTTTCGTAGAACGTAACAGTAAAGTTTCGACCAATCGCGTTGTTCGATTCGGCCGTCTGTAACTAAAGTCCTATATTAGTAGAGAAACGCAAACTTGTTTCTCCTTCTGATTGGTCGGTTATAGACCAATAGACAGCAGGGCGTACGATCATAAGATGGCGGCGGCGGCAAAGTGGGAATCACATGCTACGTTAAAGGACCACACGGACCAAGGAGTCTAATGCTAATGGCTTTTGCACACAGGACGCGGAAACGCTTGCCGCGCGGCAAGAAGCAACGCGGTAGCCAATAAACTTTTGGTTCTTACGGAAAAACAACACGTTGATTAGCTACCGCGTCGCTTCTTGCCGCGCGGCAAGCGTTTCCGCGTCCTGTGTGCAGGAGCCATAAGACTCCATAGACGCGGAAACGCCGTGCGGTAGAGTGCGTTGACCAATCAGAAGGCTGCCGCAAGTCGCCTGCGGCAAAATCAAAATTTGTGATTGGTCAACGCACTCTGCCGCATGGCGTTTCCGCGTCTATGGAGTCTTAGCATAACATGTACGCGAGTCATTGGGACTTGAGCGAGACACCTAAAGGCGTAATGAAAGTGAAGGTCGGCCCTGGTTGTCGACCGAGGGAGGATGGGCCGCGTCGCGATGCGGCTCCGCACTCCCGGGGCGTCTCGTTCTCATCGCGAGAAGAGGCGCACCCATTGCAGAGCGTACACGTTGGGACCCGAAAGATGGTGAACTATGCCTGGTCAGGACGAAGTCCTGAATAAAGGAATGTCGCATCTCACTTTAGTACACGTACATTAAAGTGAGATGCAACATGCCTTATTCCTTATTTCTTTATCTTATTCCTTATTTTTCTCATTGTGACTGAGCCCTTACGCGAGCGTTACTTCTGTACTGTAGCAGGATGCGTTTTTATTTTATTTTTTAGTACCAGTCGCTCACAAAAGAATATTACTTATTACTACGGGTATGTAAAATAATTGATCTTATATTAAAGTAAAACAAAAGGTTTAATGAAATTTAGCATAAAAGATTCAAAATTTGATTTTATTTAAATTGATCAAAATGTGTATTTTTTTGCAGATAATGTGGAAACAAACACAAAGTTGGACTTGAAAACGGTTACCAAAAAAGGTAAAAAAAACATATATACGCATCGAAAGCAACTGTGAATTCCAAGGTTAGAGATTTTGAATATCAGTTCGGAAACGAGAAGGGGAATTAGCATAGGTCAATTAAATGAAATTTTTAGAGCTGTTTTCGACGGAAATAAAGATATTATTATTAACGCTGTTAAACCAGTATTGGAAAAGAAAATTTCCGAACTATATATGCATCAACAACGTAATAACTCAATCTAATTACGAAGAATTCTTTCCCGAAAATGTATGACTTGTTATAGGAACTTTACAGTAAAAAAAAATTAATTATATTCGATCTAAGGGCCAGATGTTTATTTAAGGTTTTTTTTATATATTTGTATATATCGAAAATACGTCACATACTACTTATATTTTTTACTTGCGCGCTGATCTCTTTGGAGGCAAAGAGATATATTTTTTCACTAGTATTTTTAAATTTAAATTTTTAGGAGACATATTCTTCAAGCCTTAAAGTACACGAAATACAAATAGTTTCTCTTACCTCTTGAAATAGACAATGCACTCTTAATATTTAATGTTAATTTTTAACATTGATTTTAATTTTTACTGTAGAATAAAAAAATTGCACAACTTTTTATTGCGCATTCTGAAAACCAGTGAGATTATTCTCGTAAAATGCCAAGGTTACCGAATTATTTTAGCATTATAAGACTATAATAAACATTGATTTGGAATTTATGGAAATGAAAGACAACACGAATATACATATATAAGGGGTCATTCTACTTTTGACGACTAGCTATTTTTAACAATTTTTTTCACAGTAAATACACCATATAATAAAATAAATCTTTTTGGGAGTTATTAGGGCACTCTTAAATAACATCAAACAATTTTTTATTTTATCGTTTTTTACATTGCAGCGTCAAATGGCGTGTCAAAAAAGATGCAAGTCCGCTGCGTTGATCAGTTTTTTCATTTAGACTTATCTGAAACAAAAAATAAAAAAGATTCTTAATCTGTATAACTGTCGCTATGTCCCGAACCAAAATCAGATCAAAATGTTTATTTTATCTTACTTTTTATATTAAAAAATACCCCCCAAAAAGGTGATTTTTTTCAAACTTTTCTTCAAACCGTCGCCATTTTGTTACTTTTAAACAAAAATTATTAATTGAGGTTCGGGACATAGCGACACTCATACAGATTTAAGAATCTTTTTGATTTTTTGTTTCAGGGGTAAGCCCGAATGAAAAAACTGATCAACGCAGCGAATGCATCTTTTTTGACACGCTATTTTGACGTTGTAAAAACGATAAAGTAAAAAATTTTTTAAATTAGGACAAAAATTTTTTGGTGTTATTTAAGAGTGCCCTAATAAATCTCAAAAAGATTCATTTCATTATATGGTGTATTTACTATAAAAAAATTTTTAAAAATAGCCTAGTTTTTGGGCCGTCAAAGTAGAATGACCCCATAAGCTTGATCAGTTTACGTGGATTCGGTAATCTTGGTTGCTTTTTTGAGATGATAATACGGCTGTTCTTTATATATACATGTAGTGTATATCTTAAAAATCTTAACAAATTCGTAAAAGTTTGTAAATTTCTTTTGTTTGCACATGGTTTGTAAATTTATTCTTTGTTATTTATAAATTTTATCTACAAATTTTCTGATCCGAACAGAAATATAACATCGATTTTAATACATTTTTTATATAGAAATAAAATATTTTTGTGATACAGGCTTCATTTACTTCAATATTATTCGATGAAGATTGATTCTAAATTTACATTATGCATGTAATTTCGCGTGGAAAATCCAAAGAAAATTGAATTTTATTGCAATTATAGCGCGATTATTAATTCTTACGTATTAAGTACTGTTGCAGTATAATCTCAAAATCTGAGTAAAAGCTGATATTAACAAGCTGATTAATAAAATGTTTGATATTTAATCCTGTGTTTCTATTGTAAGAATACTAAAAAGAAATTGTAAATAAGACAAATAGAAATTTAACGATTTAAAAAGATTGCAGATTATATTACTATGTGTATATTTCTATGTAAATGAAATTTTTTATTTAATTCAATAATACATCATATATATTCTGCATTTTAATGAAATAATAAATTTACTAATTATTACATTAACAATTAAGCATTTATTTAACAGGAATACGAAACTGTTTGTACAAATCATAAATGATCAGTTACATACAAACAACAATTTAAAAAAATTATGTTTATTAATTGCAAACTAGTGAATTTTGTATACGTGGAAACATGTAGCTTTAATATTACATGTAATAATTGAATAAAATAATATAGTTTTATGTATTTTTATTAGAATAAAACTATATTTTTTCTTAAAAGAAATTTTTGTTTATACTCTATTCATTCGGCGAAATCCTATAAATGCAAAGTAGGGGTATTTGTAGGATCAATGTCGCTGAAACAAAATTAATTAGCAGTCTAATCAATGGAAGTGAAAGGCGAATATATAAGCTTGCGATCAGGCGAATATATAAGCTTGCGATCAGCACGTGGATTCAGATTCTTGGTTGCTTTTGAGATGACAAAATACGGCTGTTTTTTTATATACATATAGTGTACCTATATCTTAACAATCTTAACAAAGTAAAAGTTTGTAAATTTCTTTTGTTTGCAAGATGTTTACCATAATTTTTTCTTTTGGACTTATAACGACACAGGTTACAGCGAAACTACGTAAGTAAATAAAAAAATGTATTCTTATTTCCATCGCTATACAGGGTGTCCGAAAAATCGCCTACTCCACTTCGGGAGGTGATTCGGGACCCAAAAACAAGCAAAAAAATTCATACAAACATAGGTCCGGAAATGAGCCGTTTCCACACTGAGAGAAATACTTTCTTAATTATTAATATACCATGAGTTTAGACTTGATATCTTTGTCAGAAATATACAAATGTCAATGTTAATTCGTAATATTTAATAATAATATACGTAACTGTATAGTAAAAATACTATCAATTTATATGAAATTGTATTTATATTAAATGTAATGTTTTTGTAATTAACAAATTTATATTAATTATTAATATAAGTATAATCAATAATCTCAAATAAATTATTTCATTTGTCGAAATTGATAAAATATTTTACGCAAACATACATTTATTTATGACAAAGAAAGTCAATGTTATATTATTACTAATAATCTTTATTATTAATAAAGCACGGACTGAATATTATTTTTATACTGATAAATGTAGTTATATTCAGTGATACGCAATATAGCATATATTAATTATGAAGAAATATTTATTAGGGACGGACATAAAAAATTCTTACATTAACGACAAAGCATGTATATTAACTATTAATATACTGTTCTCTCAGTGCAAGTTATAGCCACTTTTATGTTCAAAAATCGTAATTTAGAATCCGCTTAGCATCCCTCTTTCTTAATTATTTCTTAAATTAAAAATCTTTTATTTTTAAATATTTTTAATTTTTTTAATTTTAATTTTTATTTTTTTTTTTAATTTTTCAATATTTGTAAATACGATTACATTATTTAAAAAAAAAAATCAGTTGTTTTCACGACTATTCAAAATCAGTTGTTTTCACGGCTACTTGAAATCAGTTGTTTTCACGCCTATTCAAAATCAGTAAGTAAATCACGGCTTTTCAATAAGTTTCAAATTATTATTTAACAACACCTTACTTTTAGATTGTATCTAATCTTTCCGTATTCATCAATGGATCGTTTTAAGTTTTAATGAATTAGCTGATATTTAAAAATAAAAATTTTTAATTTAAGAAATAATTAAGAAAGAGGGATGTCAAGCGGATTCTAAATTACGATTTTTGAATATAAAAGTGGCTATAACTCGGAAACGGCTCATTTCCGGACCTATGTTTGTATGAACTTTTTTGCTTGTTTTTGGGTCCCGAATCACCTCCCGAAGTGGAGTAGGCGATTTTTCGGACACCCTGTATATATGTACTCACGAACTATTCTGTTTTACACATAAATCTTGTTATATTATGAGTGCTTCTCATTTATATTTATTTTAGAGACGTTTAGTATATAGGCATGAGTTGGCTTGTATAAAATCTTTCGAAAAGCACCAACATATAATTTTTTTCGTACATACGTTTTAAGTAAATTAACTTAAATAAAAATATTTTTAAATAAATATTTGCTGGAAATTTAAAGATTATAAAATTAAAAGAAAACATTTGGTCCAAGATTTTAAATCTATTATCAATGTATAAATATTAATCGTAAACAGTTTAATTTAAAGTCGCTAGTTAAAGAAAATTATTTAAACACTGCAGCTTCCTACCTTCACGCCTGTAGCCACAAGGACACCAACTACAATCAATGCATTGCAAACAGCATCGATAGTGTAAAAGATAAAGTTTGCGCAGGATTTCCAGAAATAAACATTCCACCAGGCGAGCCATTAACTATCGACAAAATAGTTATTTTTGACGCAAATAATATTAAATTGTATCTCAAAGATGCGAAAATATATGGTTTATGTGATTTCGTCGTAAATTCGGTTAATGCAGATTTTGAAAAGCTCCACTTCGATATTGATTTGTCATTACGACATATTTATACAAATGTCACGTATGATTTTGATATACATCTGTTGGTGCCCATTGGTCATAAGGGGCCAGCTGAAGTTACTTCAGGTAAAATAATTGATCCTACTTTAAAATAAAAGGAAAGTTTAGAGAGAAGACAAAACTTTTTTTTTCCTTTAGCATAGAAAATTTAAAGTATTACTTTTTTAAAGTATTTATTTTATTTTATTATTAGAATGTATTTTTTGCACAGATAACTTGGGATTGAAAGTTGGCCTGGACTTAAAAGTGTTAACCAGAAACGACAAAAAATATATATTTGCGTCGAAAGCAACCGCCAAATGTGACATCAAATCATTCAAATATAAATTCATTGAGGACAAAAAAGAATTAGCTGATTTGCATAAAATTCTCGACGATGTCGTAGCCAAAGATACAAAGGAAGTTATTAAAGCTGTTTCAGCAGCATTTGAAGAGAAACTCTCCAGATTCGTTATATCAATGTTCAATGATATAGCCTTCTCTCGTTACGAGGAACTATTTTCGCCAGAGATATGAATTGTTTGAGACTTTGAGATTTATTGGGCTACATTAGGTTACGCATACAACTTATTTGCATATTTTACTTAATTGTTTAATAATTTTTTATTAAACAACAAACAACGGCTAAAATTTTTTTAAAATTACTCGGGGTAAAATGATCTTGATTAAAAATATCTTATATTTTTATATTATATCTATTCTATTATATTTTATGCAGTTACTTAAGAATATTAACAATATTAACAGAAAATATATATGACAAAATATATAACGGGATTTTAATGATATAATTGTATAAAGATAGGCCACAAAAAACTGTTTAATTTTATATACGCAATATTATATAATCTCTATTTACGCTCTTTATTTCGCTTTCACTGATAAGTTTAAAATTAAAAAAAAAACATCATTTTAATTGTAAATCTATTTCTAAACTGTTTTGCAATTGTAATAAGTTCCATTAATTAAATCTTGTTTTTCTGCAAAAACATGTCAATAAAAAACTAATGACCTTTGAAATTTATCGATCTTTTTTTCAAACCCAATCATATATATCACGATATAAGTATAATTTGCATCGCAATTGTTATAAAAACAAATATTGGTAATATAATATAAAATCTGATGCGAGAATACGCTTTATTAATCGATTTCCAACGTAATCGAGCGACAAAGTTATTAAACGTTCTGTGAAAATAACGCGCCGGCTTATAATGACCCGGCATTAAAATCTCCTGACGTCACGCTTGCCCGGCGTCGATATTACTTTCCGATGATGCCAGTAAATACCTGCCTCTATTATCCTTGACTGAGCACACTAACATTTATATACGCATTTCATTTGCAACAATTAATTATTTAAACGTTCCAGCTTCATTTTCTCCCAATTATAATATGTACTGTTTGCGAAATAAAACCAATTTTAAGTATTTAATTATTAATAAAAATAAATTATGAAAACCGTTTAAATATATTTTTAATTTGCACTATGCGAGTAGATTTCTGGGTTAATATACACCAGCACTAAAAAGTGTTTTGTACAAATTTTTTTTTACTCAATCTTCCCAGAAAAAAATGTATAATCAAATTAATCATTACATATTATAGGGACGTAAATCACGTCTTTAAATATAATTTCGTACAACTTAGATCGACGAGAGAGTATATTTCATCCTTGAAACCTCGATCGCGATCGCGACGAAGGTATCGCAGCATCGAGCGGCGCAAAAATTCGTGCTCCCGTATCACGCGAGGAATTTGCGGAAGTTATTTGTTTTGCAACACGGAGAAATGCGCGTCGCCGATGAAGCAATTTTACCTTCGCCTGATGGCGATGTGGCGATGCGACGCGACGCCACGCGCGCGGAGACGCGGCGTCACGAGGCACATCTCCCTCTTGCCTCCCTATATCTTATCGCCGGTGATCCTTGGAGTTCTCCGGAGACCGAAAGAGGAGAGGGAATCGCGCGCGCACCAAGCTCTCTGCGTTGTATGCGAGTTTTGACCTTGTGGCATTTGGTACCTGTCCGTACCAGCCGACGCGCATACACAACTCCACACCCAATCCCACAAGCACGCGAGCAAAATAACTAAGTACCATCTCCTTCTCTCGTTCGAGCCCCCCCTCCTCTCTTTCTCTCTGTCTTTCTCTCTCTATTGCTCACTCGCTCGTTCGCTCCGCTCTCCTCTTCTCTCTCGCTTACCTTTCCTCTATTCCGCTCGCTCACGCAATTCGCGCGCGCGCACGCGTACACCGCCGCGCCGCGCCGCGCCGGGCCCTAATGGCGACGTAACGGGGACGTCAACCGAACGAAACCACACGGGGACGCGATGGTAACAAAAGCTGATGCTCGTGCATCGCGAAATTGCAGCTGACCTGACCTTTGACCGGCACCGCCGGCACCGATCTGATTTCGCCGTGGACACCCTGATTGCCATCGGAAGCGGTGTGGAAGAGATAACGCTCCTTCCGGTTTCTTACAATGCACGGCTTATAACTGGGCTAAGCTGGGTTATTGACCGTTTTGTAAAGAATATGCATAACTTATTTACAGCTCATTAAATAGACTTACTCTCTTCTCCTTCGACTGATAAAGTGAAGAAAGTTATATACTTTGCGAAGTTATTATGATATATGATAATAAATTATAAGGCGGTGGAGTTTCACTACATTAATTGATCGTCAAAGATATTTTTGTAGCAAATATATAGTGGAAAAAAATGCTAAATTACTGTAATTAACTTTTTAATATATGTTACAGTAATTTAATCAACAACAAATTGAGAAATGTAGAGAGATATTTTAAATCTTTCCTATGTTTCGTCAAATTCATTATTTCCTGACCTAAGGAGAATCTGAAATAATTGTAATTAATTTAATTTTAATTTTATAGAATAAGTTTGAATAACAAGTTTAATAAACAAAATGTATTCAAACCGGCAGACACAATACACAACATGTATAAATTACTTACACATATAAAAAATAATTGTATTCATAATATTTATTTATTTTCAGATTTGATTATTTAGATTCTTCTCATAGCCAAGAAGTATTATCAGTATAAAAAACAACTTTATATTATTATGTTATATTTATTTATTTATTAGTTTATTATTAGCGAAAGAGAAATTAAGGATACATGAATAAGCTAATTCTGCTCCGGTAAGATAAAAAATGCGGAAAAAGTTGGATTGGATCTGTATAAAAAGTAGACAGGAAAATGTAATAAAATACCTTAGAGAAGTCAATTTTTCCTTAGCAACAATTAAGGAAATTCGTTTTCTGCCATAATAAATAAAAAAAAAAAACATTTTAGTTTAATATTCGTCAAAAGGTAAGTAAAAATAGAACGTATGCAATCTATACGCTCGTATATGTAAATTTGTTCGACACTATTATCATTATCCAACTGTTACTCGATTCTGCAGAATGCACTGCGCATGCAACCGGCGCGCGCGGCGGGAGGACCGCGGAGATAGATTGATTTACGTACGATTCGGAGAAATCCGGAACGTCTCAGAAGCCGGAGCCACTTTGGTACCATGGCACATGACATCGCGGCGAGCGGGCGCATCTAATACGTCACGGGACAATGGAAAAAGGTCGCGCCGCGGCAGAGCGCGCGGCTGTGGCATTTGCGGCGTTCGTCGTTAATAAACGTGTTCGCGAGAAAATGCGCAACGTATCGGACTGAAGTCAAAAGGCACGGATGGGTACGGGCCTTCCCGCAGGAGGAACGGGGCGGGGGAATTCCCCGTGAAAGAACGGAGTGTATCTGTATATATCTGTATAACTGCGCGCTCATTGATGATGTTTTCCGGCACAGCTGTGTGCGACTAATTGAAGATAATCTTAATCTGCACGTTGAAATATTATACGTGCATGCTTTATTTATATTTTCAAATCATATCCTCATTCACGACCCAAATCATAGTCACCTACAATTTAGAAGCTTTAAAAATAGCAAATAACGACGAGCGATATTTCAGAAGTTCCGGGATATTAAAATTTAGGAATCTAAAAATTCAAAAATACAAACAACAGTTTGAGTATGGCGAAGGAAATGATAGAAATTCAGCGAAGTTTGACGAGCGGTGTCTTTGATCAACCAACCAATAAGATTATAGCAGAGATATGCTATAATAAATATATATAGCTATATATCGCTGTTTGTATTTCAAAAACCTCTTAAAATACAAATGTATATTTACAATTTATCCGTCATTAAATATTTATACAAGATATTACGTATATAGGTATTTGATAATTATCTAAAATGCATTTCTTACACTTTCTGCATTTAAGTTAAAGTACATTCTCTCAAATGAAGATAAAGAAAAGAAGACAAAATCTAAACGGAATAAATTTGTCGTTATATTAATGTTTGATTTGCTGCTACAGTTGCATGTTAATTCAAAGTTCTTCGACTTTCCTAATAGCACGGGATACAACGGAGACCGGATACGATTGGACGTCAATTAAGCCAGTTTATCTGAAAATCCGCTTCGTCAGACGCGGCAAGGCCAACCGGTGGAGCATCGCATCCAACGATTTTCCTCGCGTTTCCTCGCCTTGCGATTTAAAGACGGTCATCGAACGCCAACGGTCGAATCATCATATGAATTGTACGCATCTTTCATCGCAACCGCTTACAAACTCGTGATGAAGCTTCACATGCGGGGGTGGGAGGGGGCAACGCTGTTATTTTCAGTTACATCGAGCGGAATTTTCCGAATTCGCATAATTGACGTGTGACAAACGATTCAAGGTGAACCCTCGGAAAAAAAATTCAAGAGCTCCGAGGCTCCAGAGTCGCTTGAAAATAATAATAAATTCGAGAATTGCAATACACCAAGTGTTGCGTGTCGATAATAATGCAAATTGCAGAGTAGATATAAAACGATCAAAGTATTAACAACTGCTTGAAGTGAATAATAATAATTATATAATTTCAATTTTCTTGGATTTCTACGTACAAGTTCAGCTGTACAAATCAGCGATGCGGATCATGGTGAGTACCGCTAATTATAAGTGTAAAAATTAGTTCTTGGAGATAATCTCCTATTTTGAGACTTACTACATGTAATTGACCAATATATACATTTTATATTATTTGTACGTCGTATTTAGTTTATATGTCACACACCACGTCAAATTAAACAAAGTATAAATAATGAAATAAAAGGATATATAAGTAGATATAATTTTTTCAATTAAGTAACTTTGACAACTGGAATTCAGCGATGACAGCGGTACTTAAATTTCTTTTATCGCAAATAAAGGAACTGCGCGTTACGCGTTTTGCCGTCCACGTGAGAAAGTTTCCACGGAAATCGTTCTCTCCTTTGACGCATAATCGCATAAAACGCGTCGCTTGAATTAGGGGACTGACATGAGCCCATATGAAAAGCCGGCGCGACCCTTCCGACTTTCGTTTCGCACGCTTGAAATCGTGCTTGTTCACAATTTTCCAGTTGATTAAGTTTTCATGACAGAAATTATTCGCTAGTATTTTCTAAATAATTTTCTTATTTTTATACCCATGTCCCATATACATTATGCCCATATTGATCTTACAATAACAGTTTGCATTGTTTATACGTAGGTATAACATTACGATTAATAATTAATTTCCAATTTTATTTTTATAATTTGTTTTATGTGAAAAATCATCTGCTATTGTTTTTTATTCAATTATTTATAATTTTATTTTAAGTATTTAAAGGATATATTTTATTATAAGTTAGTATTCTTATTATTTATACATTTTCGTTAATTTCTTACAAATATTATTTTTTACAGTAAAAAATAGCTCCTTTAATTTATTTGACAACATGCTGATAATGCACCGAATGTCATTATAGTGTATCGATCGTACGTGTCATCATGAAGATCGACGATAAGCAAGAAACGCGATACCGCAAAACGCACGTTTGTACGCATAACATACGCTGTAATTGTTTCAAAAGAATTTCATATCAAATATTGGCATTTGTGTGACTATACTCGATCAAAAATTAATGTACGGAAAGTGTATAAGAAGACCGGCAGGACAAACAATATGCTGACGTACTTAACAAATATTCTTTTTCACTCCTATTACACCACACCGAGAAAATTTTATGTTAAATTTTACTATGCTGCCGCACCAACTGCGGGTCATCAAGACGCCCAAGTTTAAATGCTATAGTCTTGTGTAAAATTACTATGTCCATAGCATTTAGTGATACGATCATAGCATTATTATAGCATTGAATGGTCCGCAGTTAGTGCGGCAGCATAGTAAAATTTAACATAAAATTTTCTCCGTGCAGATCGACATATAATTTAAAAACAAAAGTATAGCTTTTTCTTGTAAATTTAAATATAAAGAACCAAATACACTAAGCGCTCACGTGGCGTCGTGTTATAATACTGTAAAATATTACGTCGCGGCGTCGTTGTAATTAAAATTCGCGAGAATATCGACAGAACAAATTTCGTAGGTTAATTCCTTATCCTAATTAATTAATTAAATTATCAAAATTAATTGATTTTTATTTCAGAAGATTTGAATTCGCGATGAAAATCTTCTTTCGTCTCAAATTATATTCTATTAGAGTCAATCGCTTTTCTCGCAGCTGTTAATTCAATCTAATGAAATTAAAATCAATTCCACGCACTTCGCTCCAGAAACGGCCGTCGACATAGGTACTCCGGAGAATTTGAAATCGGAGCGAGTCGCGCGCGAGTTCTCCTCTACCAAACTCGGCGACGGGCCCTCCCCACCTCCGTCCACGATGATTAGAGATATTGGAAGGGGTTAAGACGGCGCCATGTTGGGTCCGTCCGCGGCGCGTCGCGTCACTCGCGTCAGTCGCCCGATGATTGCGACCGTGTAGACGTCGCACGCACGAGCCATGAATTGAGCTCGCGTTCGCTCGTGCCGCGTCGTCGTTTTACCTTTTTTTTTTAATTTTATCCCGTTGCGCGCGCGCACATTTTTTTTTATTTCACCCTACGTCCTCACGCGCGGGACTCGCGAGTTCTTCGAACGGGAAAAATCTTGGAGGGAAGTGCCGCGGAGATTTTAGATCTAGAGGATACGCGTAAAACATATATTTGCGTGCAAAGTGCGTGCAACCTCTGGTGACTCCTCTCTCTCTTTCTTCCTCCCTTCCTCCCTCTCTCTCTCTCTCTTGGAAGGAGCGCGGGTGAAAGAGAGCGAAGGATAAAGAGAAGTGCAGAAGACGAGAAGACAAAAGGGGGGAAAAAAGGAGGGAAAGGGGGAGAGGGACAGCGGCGTGCGATGGCTGTGCGGCCGCGCATCGGCCCTTCCGGTGGTGAACGCGCTTCCGGAGGTGCCGGCAACCACCTCGCCGGGATACCCACCGTGCGATGGACCGCCAGGAGCACGCTCGTCGTCGCCGCCGCGGCGTTCGCCGTCCTCCTCGGCGTCGCCGACGTCGTGGCCATCCGATCGGGTGAGTAAAAATCCTCCGCCTCACCGCGCGCTTATATAAATACATTATGAATCCCGGGGCTCTTTAAACTTTAAATCTGCGACTTCTGCCCGCCGCCGGGAGGGGGAAGGGGGCGCCCCGCTTTCGCCAGCGGGCCCCCCATTCGTTTCGTAAACGCCGGTCAGCAAATTGCCAGACGACACAACGTCCAAAATCGGGACGTAAGACGTCTTGGTGTGTGTTAAATGGAAAAATACGATTCGGACGTCTTTAAGACGTTTTTAAGACGTCTTTAAGACGTCCTATGTGTCCCGTTTTGAGACATTGTGGTTATCTGGGTTATTGCTTCCGCAGCGCGATTTATCTCGAAGATGTGCGAGGCAATTGCATTCGTTATGTAATTCCAAGCCCAAGATCGAATGATAATCCACTCGGAATTTCAGCCGTAATTAAAGGCCTTGGCACATAGAAAAACTTAAGCAGTAAAACTCAACCAGTAAGCAAATCAGCCAATCACAGTCAAGAACTTAAGGCACGGCCCTAAGCGGTAGCGAATCCATACTGTTGATTTCTTACTGCTTAAAGTTTTACTGCTTAAGTTTTTTTATGTGCCAAGGCCCTAAGATTTGAGGTCCGATCGTCTCGGATACTCGCGACTCTCCGGCTCGCATATACTTGCAAATTTTTTTTTTTTTCCATTTAGTACACTCGCCATTTGTTTATATCGTGTGAGAAAAATGCGGCAACACAGAAACGAACGGCGCGCTCGTCGGAGCTCATCCTTTTTGGATCCTCCGTTTATCCCGTTAATCACATCGGCAGTCACACTTCTGCCAAAGTACCGTAGCCCCGTGTGCCGTATACGTGATCGGGCCCACCACGTCGATTTTATCGAGGATTTTAAAACCCGTCGAAGATATTGTTCTCTCACTTTGCTTTCTCCTTTTCTTGCAAGCGACACACACACACACACACACACATATATTAATTCCACCGTTGTCTTGCCCCATGAAACGACTTCCCGATCCCTCTCGCCTTGTTTCCCTAAATATTCCGCTTTGCCGCGAGCGAAAGTTTTGGAAAGGGGGCATACAATGCAAAACCTGAGCCATGCGAGCTAGAAAGAGCTCGCGTTGCAAAGAATACCTCTGCTAATGAATACGTGAGCCTAAAAAAAGAAGATTCAAAAATCTCTCGCTCGATCGAACGACTTAACGATCGTCGAAATGATACAGTTCGCGATCCTCGAGCATCGACGAGTCGGGCGAACGTGAATCCCTCGAACGTGCGCCGATTTTTCTCGATCGGATTTGATTCGCCAGTGAAAAGTGGCAATCAGACAGCCTCGATAGCTTTTCGAGTTTCGGCTCCGAATTTGAAGCCGACCTTTCTCGTAAATCCAAGTCGCACGATCACATTGAGTGCGGTAAACCGTTTTCTTTTTCTTTCCATTATTACGAATACAGAAGCTTATTTCGCCGGGACCTGCCACCTGTTTATATCCGTTTGTTTGGAAGTTCGGGGAACCGAACCAGCGGAACCAAGGTCAATCCGGGCCCGTCTCTTTTTCGTCACCTTGAACACCAACGCGGCGAACTGCCTGATCTATTGTTATCGCGGTGTAATGGGTTACGTTTGCTTTTTTTTCTCTCTCTTGCAATCACGGTAGAGGGAGAGTCAAGTGGGTAATGGTATAGAAAAGTCGGGAACCGGTTTCGCGCGTGCGTGGTGTGGAGAGAGATTAAAAACCGGTGGCCGTGCCGAATTTTTCGAACAGATCTATCCAGATCCTTTTCCTAGTTTCCAGTTGTTTCTTATCGAGCGAGTGATCCTCTCCCCAGGATCGGCGCGTCGCATTTCCCATATAAGAAACCGGTTTCGTATGACTCCAAAAAAAGGTATGACACAATGTTCGTGTTTGGATTGTGTGACCGGAAAAGACGCCAGGACGCGTTTGAAGAAAATAGTTTTCTCTCGATAACGATATACGATCGCCTCTCGCGTTTCAAATAATTCACCGGGATTCAAAAGCTCCAATAAAAATGAGAGATGACATTTAAATGTTCATTAGCCTTTCCGATATGTGTTTGAAATATATCGTAAGTAGGAGTTTACGTTGACTCTGCTCAGGCTACTTTGACCTAGCACAGAAAAAAAAGGCCGCGCGAAAAGAAATATAAATCTAACTTCAGCGAGCGCTTTTCTTCTTCGTTTGTAATATCAATTCCAAATTGCAGCCTTAATCAACACCCGCGAAAAACTTTTAATTTGCTTTGTCAAGATTAATATAATATTCATATTTGTTTTTTTTTTTAACACGGAATTATTATATAAAAAGAAGGCATAAAAATACGATGATGTGAAAGTTATTTTTATAAATTTCGGAAGACGTACAAGATGTTTTTTCGAACGTTATATTGATTCATCCTCCGATCAAACGATCACCTGTTTGTCGCCGTAAAGATTCGAAGTTTAACGACGCAATTCTGGCTAGACAAATGGAACGTTGTGCCTTGATGGCACAATGCAACCTATACCTTATTGATCCGCGTGAAGTCATTCCGCGAGCGATATTAATAAAAGATCTTTTTCTCTCGTTCGCATATACACGAAAACACACGTTCACATATTTGACGCACACGTGATACGTGTAATCGTGAAGATAACGCCGGGGCAGCGGCGCGGAGGATAAATATCAATATGTTGACGATTGGCTAAATTAAATCTCTGACCTTCCACGATGAACTCGTTACTCAATCCGGAGTACGTCGACCATTTAAAACTTATCAATCCGATCGGCGAATCTTTCCTATACAGCTTGGCTTGAAAGGTGGATTTTGTATTTTTTATCTATTTCTCATTTACATTCTTTCCTTATTCTTCGTTTACGCGTGTACAATAGCGACGAAGAATCTTTGTTAAATTAGATTGTTTGTTAAATAAACTGATTATCGTCGTTTCACCTCTTTTTTTCTGTTGTTGTTGTGATTTTGTTTTACAGAGGACACCTTAAATATTTAGCGCAAACAGTAATTTACTTGAAAATTTCGAATATATGTCAACTTCTCTCTCTCTCTCTCTCTCTCTCTCTCTCTCTCTCTCTCTCTCTCTTTCTAAAATTTGATGTATATTTATTCAAATTTTTATTTACAAAAGAAACATAATGAAATCAAATATCATAAATAAAATAACAAGCACGCTTGGTCATTTATCCTTAATCTCATGAGACGCTTGATACATAACTCAAAAATGCAAACAACTCATCCGTCTTAATAAAAATTTCAGAACGAATTGTCTCGTAAAATGTGGAAGCGCCTTCGTCATTTTATAGATCTTCCGGCAACTTTTTCACACCTCGCAAACCACCGTGCCACTGCAAAAAAGCTCATGCACATCATTGTGGGCCGCGGGTGGGACAAGTGGGACGAATCAGTGGGTCAACGAAACGACCTTCGTACTCGAGAGCGCCGCAAGAGTTTGCAAGCTCTGATTCCTGCAACACGCGCGCGAAGAAGGCGAGAAAGTTCTCCTCCCCTCCCCCCTTCCCCCGAAGAGTCGGCGGTTCTTTGACGTATTTAGAGCCGATCTCTCCTTAGCGAAGATCCGATTGGACGGCGGCTTTTTAATTTTCGACATTAATTAGGCCGACCAAACCCGGCCTTACTAATTGTCAAAATATCACGTTATTGTTGTTCGAGGAAAATTTGAGAAATTTTCAGTCGGACATTTGTGACATTCAAACGCTGTATTTACACTATTTACTTAACGGCTATTACTTATAAGTATCTCAGGGTCAAACTCTGCTTCACGAAACTTTTCAGCTCGATATCTGTGGAAATTTTCGCGACAAGCCGCACTCAAATTTACGATCAATGTCAAAAGCAAGGGAATAAATGGAAAAAAGCTGAGCTTAGCCCCCGTAAACGTTTAACCTCGTTGCGCGTTGCGGGTTTTCCCGAAATTTTCCCGAGTAAAATTTCACGTCGCTCTCCCTCGGGGCGATGACATTTTTTTTTTTTTTTGCGGTCGGAGGAAACGACGTTTCCTGAATACGAAATCGAATAGCGGCATCGGCGGAAACTCACGAAGCCACGATCGGCCGATAGGCAAACGGGGCTGCCTGATGCCGCGCGCGGCCACCGAAAGCGCAAACTCTTGTAAAAACGAGGAAGAAGAAACGGCAAACAACAACGTTCGCGATGTCGCGAGTGAGAGAAAAAAAAAAGAATCACGACGATCAACGACCTCCGGTTAAAAGTTGGGCTGCTTCGTCGATCGATTTCTATTTATAGAAAATGATCGAATTACACAGTTTCAGCGGAGAGGCCCCGTGTCTTTTTAAACAGTGATTACGCACGTACGCGGTCGCTGGTGATTTCATTTGCGAGTCTAGACATGACATCGTCACGTGCGATCGATCGGCCGTCGTTACGTATCGGATTTATCGTCTCGACTATAGTAAAGGCAAAGAGATGACAGTTATATATACGTTCGTTAAAATATTTATCTTGTATTACATCAGGCCGCCTCGGAGTAACTCAAATGAGAGCGTTATTCCCGTTGCTCTGTATTTACACTTCGGCTCATCCGCGAGAAAAATCGTGCGTCCAAAATGAACTTTCCTTCCGACGTGGAGATCCCATTGAAGAAATAATAATATTTAACTGGATTAGAATTTATTTGCGCCGGAATGATAGGCGAGAAAGAATCGTTACTCGCATTTTCCCCATGCACATGTGCCGCCTTCGCGAATAACCGCGCTAGCGAAGGCTACTTCGCCGCTAAGCAAACTTTCATTGATACAACGTGTTGTACGCTTCGAAGGCTGTCGGAGGTGAGCCCTCGGGAGTGCCCGGTTGGAAAACACGGGCGGCCAGCGTGGCGTGGACAGACGTGAGGCGTCGAAATAAATTTATAGGTGAGGAGGGAACCCTCTCTCTTCGGGCGAACGAGCGAGCGAGCGAGCGAGAGGGCTCCGGCCGCGTTCTCTCCGAACGTGCTGTCCTTCTTCCCGGCCTGCT